CTGCTGTTTTAAGGTCTACTGGACAGACTGAAGCAGTTCATATTTTTAAAATGTACCATTTTCAGTGAAGTCAGATAATTTTATCAGCAATACATCAAGAAATAGGCTTAAACCAATAAAGCACCAGACAGTCAGCCCCTGAATCCAGATGGATCTACACAGTCTGATCACTGGATGAGTGTCCACAAGAGCGCTTTGCAGGCTCACAGCTAGGAAAATGACTTCTCTTCCGTTTAAATACGAGGGGTTTATTCCATATTTGAAAGAAATTATTGAAACTTTCATATTCAAGTGTTCATGTTTGCAGTGTAAAAAACAAAATCAGACAATCACATATTATTCAGTTACAGGTATTTTCAAAGTATCTAACACACCATGTTTAGCTTTCAGACGTATAGACCATATAATGGTCAGGTGCAGAAATCCACTCACCATTACAGTACATGTGATAATCCTCCAGATACTGATCCAACTACATCTTATACACGGACACACAAATGGATTTGACAGACTTCAAAATTAAAGACTCATTCTTTGCATGTCAACAATAAAAGAATGTAAAGGCTTTAAATGTGGTGTATGCTTAATAAAAAAAATGTATTACAACACAAGTGGTAGGAATCTCACTTCAGTAGCAAAAAAATAAAATTAAAACAAAAACCCTCCATGTGTTCTTTCTTTACCGCTAACATTATTTTCTCAATCCACTTTCATGTAACCCACAGACAGCAATTCCGTCAATACAATGTTTCTACGAATGCATTTTTAAAATATAACCACAGAAAATTTGTTGAGTACTATCAAAAAGTACAGTAACCAGCGGTGGAGTCCAAAGGAACTTAAAGGTTCCTGCACCTGAAGGCCATGTATGTAGTCAGTGATACAACTTAACATCTCTTTCTGACACTTTGTTGCTATAATGCTGGCCGTCCATTCAGTTTGTCATGCATTAGCGCAATGGCTCCACCTGTGAAGTCTCTAAGAACCTGCACCGTCTCCCGCTGGAGCAGCAGAGACTCACGCACGAACTCCTGCTGAGTCTCTGCCAGCTGCTGCACAGACTCAGATAGAAGCTCTAGGGAGCGTGAAACCGTCTCCAGCAGATTGTTGGTGGTGTGCTGCTCCTGAAGGCTCAGCGATGCATTATGTAGCATGCTGTCTCTCGTGTTCTGTGGCGGCTGGCCGGGCGTGGGAAGCGTGGCCGTTGACGTTGAAGGTCCGGAGGACGTCTGAGTTTGTCCTTGTTTCTGGATGCCGTTGTTTCCTAGGTAATCTTCTGTTTTTGCCGCATGAGTGGAAGGAAGCACGTCATCCCTTTGGTCATCGTCTGAGTCTCCAAATGCACCTTCAGCATCTTCAGAGTCAAAGAAAAAGGCTCATCAGTGTTTTCTTATCACCAAAACATGTTGCAACAAGTTCTTTCTTAATTTGTACCCAAATCTTAACAATTCACCTTCTGCTGCAGGTACTTCATACTGCACATCAAATGCAGGTTGTGAGTCCCCTGTAACATTAAAAGCATTTAATAACACAATTTGCACGCAAAAGTGTCACAGATTTATACACTGTAAGCAAAATGTGAGTACGGTAGTTACAATAATTTGAGAGGAAGGTGGCATGGAAATGTTGTGTAGACATATAGACTTCACTTATGTTTAGACTAAAGGTGAAACAAAGGTGAGTAAATACTGACAACATTTGGATTAACTATTCCTTTAAGCACTCACTCATTGAGTAGGAGGTTGGTGGGGGCATCGTCGCCATGTCCAGCCCACCGTTAGGAGAACTCTGCATTCCAATCATATCCTCCTCTTCCATTTCTTCCTCCTCCTCTGGCACATCGTCGTCATCTCCAAGTGGGCCAAAATCACCCGTGCTCTGGTCTTCCTCATCCATCTCCAGAATCTGGAGCACAATTTTCTCTGTCTGATTAAGGTCTCTGGAAAGACGTGAGTTGAGGCCCCTGTTGGGCACTGTCCCTGACCGCATGGCTCCCACTTTCCGCTTGGTGTCACACTTTAGATCTGACCATTTCTTGATGACCTCAATGACCTCGCGTTGGCACTCCCCAATCTCATTGACACGTGCAGTAATCTCTGCCCATGTGCGCTTCTTCATGTCTGTTGGCACACCACGATTGAATTTGCCTTTGGGGGGGGGGAAACAAAATGGCCATAAGCACTTGTCATTGTGTTAGTGACCAGGCTACATTCAACATTTTATTATTCACACATTCACTGTAATTCTAGTATACCCTTGTATGCCCAGATCATCGGGTTTCCTCTGCTTAGCTTTGTTTATTAACCAGCTCCTGTGCAATCATTCGTTAACCCAGACAGAAAACCTCAAAGTAATCTCTTCATTTAGAAGGTGAAGGAGAGCATTCTGATAGGGATAAGCACTTGTAGACACGTACCCACAACCACCATACGATGCTTCCTCACTTCATCCAACAGTATGTGGACTTCACTGAAAGAGAAACGAGCTTTTCTTTTCTTGAAGCGAGTAACACTGTCTTGGTTGTAGTATATTGGTGAAGACATCCTCCACACAGTGTCAATAGGTATCCAGCTGCTTTGTAATCTCGGCTGTGCTTCAACTTCTCCAGCTGTCGGTCTGGGGGTGTTAACAGTTAAAAGAACACACGAGTGTTAATGGTATATCGGCTTCTGTGTCATTAAGCGATATTCACCAATGAGATTAAGGGCTCTACACAAAAAAGTTGACTTGATTAGGGCTATTATGTAAGTTAGTATCAGTGATAACGTTACACTCGTTCAGGCTCAACCAGCCGAGCAATGACCGTGTTACACATCTGGTTGGTTGATCAGTTAAATAGATGATGAATGATTGTCATCAACATTTTAACTGTAACGTACTTACATGCATGTGTCTAAGTTAACTGTTCTCACATCACAGCAAGGAAATAGAGCAGGTTTAGCGTTATGATAACAATGTCAGTGCAGAGAGTGAATGAACAATGGACGTCGATGTCGCTTTACACACGCGACAGCCTAACGTTAGTTAGCTAGCTATATTTAGAGCACGTAGCTAAAGTCAAATGATACCTTTACTTACATTGCCCTGATTATTTTAACGACTAACATCTAAAATTTCCTCATACAGTGTAACATATACTTAGTTAGCTAGTTTAGGTCTAATGTTACACAACAGCACACACTAGGTTAGCCCTCTTTGCAGCAAGACAACGTTAGCTAATGCTACGTTAGAGTCGCAAATGGCTAATGAAGCACTTAGTTCATGTGACCTCACTTCTTGAGGTATACCTTAATTGCAAAACTAGCTAATGAGATGGTGAACATACCCCCAAATCAAAGAAGTTGGGATTTGGTCCAGAAACGTAATGATAAACTTCCTTATCGACAAGATAGCTATTGTCAAGCTAGCCAGTCTGAAGCTAACGCTACACAAAATATGTCCGGTTAACGTTAGTCACGGTTAGTGCTAGCTAGCTAACTAAGTTACAACATCTGGCTAAAGCATTGTCCACTGACATTATCATATTAATATGACAATAGTACACGACTTTTAAGTATTTCTTTCACTTATAACAATAACCACGATTAATCTAGTGATTTCGCTGATTACGTTGCTTCGTTTTATTTCTCATCTTTCCCGTTGTTACAATGTGCTTTTATTTTGAAGGAGCATGCCCTTTTCCTGGTATCGTAGGCTGACTTGACTCAAGACCAGTGAGACCAACGCGCGCACACACGCACGCACACACACGGAGAAAATCAGCTCAGGAACGCACGTTCATGTGGTGTGTCTGTGTTTGATCCGGTGGCTCCCTCGATCGTTTGCTCTTATTTCACGATGAAGTGGGCGTTGGTGTCACTTACTGTATTTACAGTGAGTATGCAAAATCTATGTGTAAAAGGTGTAAAATAGAAAAACAATACTTTATTTGAATGCGTCGTCAGTCGAGGGCACTGTTGCCTCATTTTGACGATTTTCATAGTGCAGAAGAAGAGAGGGAGCAGCTGTTGTGTTTTCACTACAACGTTAACACAATGTTATTGTTTACATATTTAAAGCTGTAGGATACTTTTCCATGTTTATGCTACCTTGTAGGCCTACAACGTGCTTTAGCAATACTGTGTTTCAATCATATAGTCATGTCATGCCAATAAAGCGTCTTTGAATTGAATCAAGAGAGAGAGAGATAAAGCTGGCTGCTGAATTCCCAAAATCTGCAACAGGGAGCCCGCGGCCTCCACATTCCTTGGGCCGTCTTTCCTGTCATGCTTTATTACTTTAAGAATCTTCTTGTTAAAATGATATAATTTAAAGAAAATTTAAACATTAAATGTCCAGTGTTCCCCATGCAGCCTACGTGATTTAGTAGCTTTGAAGCATCAGAGGCACCTTTTAACCACCACTTGGAGCTGCATTCATTTGCAAAATCTTGCCTGTAACTCCATATTTGGGCAAAGGTTGTTATTTGTGTCTTTTACAGAAAAAGCTGATTGCCAAAATGCAGTGAGACTGAATGGTATGTTATGTATGAGTTTCATATAGAGATTACTCTTGGGGATCTAATATAATGTACTGAGCATGTGTTCACAAAAAAAAAAAAAATTAATTTACACTAAATTGTATTTCTCCAATACCATACTGTGATGAAAATGCAATGGCTTTTTGTCCAGCTTTTAGAGGTTGTTTGTAAAAAGACTTGTGGCTGTTTCACCAGCCTGCCTGCCACCAACAACTAATACAATAAGACATATGGTAAAGTATCATAGCATGCATTGCGTCCTGTCTAAAATATGCCAAGTTGTACTTCATGGTTTTAACCATTTGTTATGAGTCATGTTTCTTAAAATTCATATTTTGATCCAGTATGATGCCAAGATATTTAAAATCAGTGACAATTGCCAATCCATATGGTTTAGAAGTAGATCCCAGTTCAGCCTATGAGAGAATCCATTAGTCACACAGCAACAAATGTTAGCAGAGCATCAAGAACAAGACCGACATATTAAACATACCCATTTTATTCCAAATATGGCACAGGTTATTTATTTTACCAAGCATTTTCATTAACAGCTTAATGACTGTGGCTACACCTACATGGTTAAAAACCCATCTTTACTCAGCTGCATGCATTAGTGGCATACACGTGTTATATAATATCATACTGCATTACGGCATTATCTGGTACAGGCATTTTGAAATACACGGTGATAAATAAAGTGATCAGTGAGCTGAGACAGAGAATGCTTTGGCCAAGTTGCACTACCAGTATTAAACATTAAATGTCAAAATATTTGCCAGTCCAAACTACCCCTTCACACACACATTAACAAACTGCTATTAGGTCACTTGACAGTATATTTGGTATTTCAGATATTTTTTGTATTTTGGCCTTTTAGTGGCTATAGAAAGCTCTGGGATTGCTGACCGCTATGCATATACAATAACAGTGCAACTCTGATGCAAAATAATGGAGTGTACAAATCATTAGACAGTGATCTGCTTACATTATGCAAACAACTACCTTAATGTTCTTTAAGCTGCAACCAAAATGGTGAACGGTCTCACAAGAATCTCCAGTCAGTGGACTTGGGGCTGGTTTAACAAAGACACAAATATGATTGACAGTCTCTGCAAGGACATAGTCCACACACACACACACACACACACACACACACATTCATCAATTTTACCCAAATTAGACCTATTTGTTTTGTTGGACCTGTTCAGGTGGGACCACCCAAGTGTTTTCAGTTAGCTCTCTGCTCAGGTTAAAGTTAGGGGGAGCTTTTGTGAGAATGTGTGTACTTACAGTAATGGTAAATGTGTACGTTGTCCCGCCCCTACAGGTGTTACCAAAAATAATAAAATGCAGACTGATGGAGTTGTCAGTCAAGCAGTCTAAACACATCCATACAGTTCTGAGAAATACACTTAAGCAAAATAGGTGGGAACAAACCAAACCAACATATGTCCAACCACGCTACAGCTTGACACGGTTACCTGTTGTAACCTCCAACAGGAAACAACGAGATGAGTGAAGTAGGCTTTCCTGTTTTTGCCAGCAGGAAACACAGTTGTCAGATGGTATGCATGTTCCTAAGTAAGCCTGGGGTTAAAGTGTCAGGCTTTCTTTCTGTTAAACTGTCAAACATCCTCATTTTAGCATAAAACTAACCGTAAAACCCATCTCCACGGACCCCTCTAACATACAATATTTGTGAAACCAGCCCTAGTCACATAAGAATGGGAGCTTTTTGCTTTCACATTAGGTTTTTCACAAATTCCAGAGTGTAAAGCATCTGAATGTTGGCTTTTCTCCTCTTGTGCCATTTTGACTTGTGGACATGAGGCAGGTCAAAATCAAATGCCAAACAAGCGGACCAAATGACACCAATTCAACATACGATCACCTTTATAATGTGGCTACACACTTGTCCAGAGCATTCAGTGGCATTCATTTTTGATCCTCATCTATTGGTGTGGTTGTGAGTGCAGGTTTGTGCTTTTACAGTATCAATTCTGTCTTGCAAGTATTATGGAACAATCCCAAAACACTTTCCATTAACATTATAAATAAACCTGCACACACAATGGGTTTGCTAATTAACAAGTTGTAGGGATGGTTGAGAAAATATTTAGTGCTGTGTGGACTAACAGAGTGGTTCTGTGTAACAAGCAGGAGAGACATCCTCTGGACTCAAGAGTACATGGTCAACTGAAGCCACTGAAAAGACAAGAGCAGAGGAGATGTTTTATGTAAAAAAAAAAAAAAAAACCTTTCAACTAAATCAAATGCTTTTACAATAACAGATCAGTTTACCTCCTGACAATTGACTTTGATTGTCCCATTGTTATCCTTATCCAGGGTTTTGAAGGCACCTGAATCAGAACAGAAGTTAAGCCCACAACTCCTCCAGTTTACCAGTCAGTCATCGTTATTACACAGGCAAAGCTGCTAAATCAATAAATAAATCCATCTTTCAAAACTTACGGCACATGGCATCCAGCCTCACAAGGCAGCCAATGTAATTGTCAAAATCCATGTTCCCATTTTCATCACTGTATCTGCGAATTATCATCTGGAACAGCTGGTCATTGAGGGGGAAGCCTGGGGAAGAGATGATATTAAACAGCAAGTATACAAAGCATACACGTTACGATTGGGTGGGATTCCGGTTTTGCCAGTAGAAGCTTGCACCCATCTGATTTTATGCAAAGCAACTCAACTGGCATTTGTCATTTTGAGATTTTCTTGCCATTTAAAAAAGAAGACAGGAATTTAAAACTGTAGTAGTAAAATACATCTGGGTTCAAGAAATGTAACAACCACCTCACTAATAGTTAAAACAAACATAAAAAATTGTTAAATGTTAATTTATAACGTAATGTTGACTGAACGCAAAAGGTGGAACTCGTGGAAGTGCAGCGCCCGGACAGTCTGCGGCCTGCACATAACAGAGGTCAGTGTTCCCCCTGTATTCAGCACACCACCGCTGCAGAATGAATAACCACCCCACTAACATGTCTCTCCTCGCACACTGTGCGAGCATGGTGACACTCAAAGCTCGGCTAGCTCCCTGCTTATCCTGTGTGAGTGGCCGAACGAATGAGAGAGAGCGAGCAGCAGAACATAACAGTAAAAGAAAAATATTAGCAGTAAATTTCAGTCTGGTAGTAAATGTGCGGTGTAGGTCACAATGTCTCCGTTAATAGCGGTCGTCTTATGTGCACATGTTCACCCGCACAGTCTTTGCTCGGTACGTTAAGAGTCATGGACCAGGTAAAGCCAAAGTAGACACCAGAGTGCAATTGTTGTGATGTCTGTCAGCCATCGCCAATAGAAGATGGCATCGTCCATCAGCCCAACCCTAATCAATATGCATCGCTAATCGTTGTATAATCGCATTGCAGTCCTCTGAATTGTAATCTTATCATATCATGACGTGCCTAGAGATTCCCAGCCCTATTAAATATAACCCAGTCCCTGACAACCGTCATGTCACTGCTTATCACACCTATTTGCTATGTTAGCAGGGTAGCTAGCCAACTGTCAACGTAGCAGACTGAAAGGTAAGTAAGAAGCCTTGTTTTGATCCACTCCTGTTAATCCTGTAAAAGTTACTGTATTCCACTGTTAATACAAACTCAACACTTCCTGTATTCATTTTCAAATTAAAAGCCATCTAGCATCTCAGTGGACAGAAACCCATCAAATCTTAACATGTCCTCATCAACACAAACATATATAAATAACTGGTGTGATAGTCAAATCATTAACCCTTCACACAGCAGCTCAAAGATGAGGCTTTCTAAAGAGCTCAGAAAAATTTGACTGGATGTCTTTTTCTGTCAAGGTGTCAATATTTAACTAGCGTTCATTAGCCATACGTGACAATCCAGTTATGCCTGCAGAAGCTAAGCTAAACCTAACCTTACAAATTCCACATTTTACAGATTTATAATGGTAAAATGATCATATGTACATACATAACTACATGTCGATTTCTAGCTTATGAAACAACTATCCAAATTCAATATTTTCTATGGTTCAAACATGCCCGGCCACATGACCCTTTTGTAAGTTCTTACTGCATCCATGACTATTGCTTTACCTGTTTTTCCTGTACTGGCTGTTATAACTGGAGTTACTAAACTTTTGTTTTTCCTCCATCTTTTCAGTGGCTGTGCAAACATTTAAAACAACAGAAATAAAATAAATCTCACCAGCAGCTGTGAAAGCTTTGGGCAGCTCATCTGCACTGATGACACCGGAGTTATCAGCGTCATAGGCTTTGTACACTCCCTATGACAATGACAACAATGAAAATAATGTATTTAAAGCATTTATACTTTGTTAAAGTTTCATAGTCTGCTCATTCAGAATCTAGAAAGAGAACAAAATACATAGCTGCCAATATCAACGTAACAACTATGAGAGAAATAACTTCAAAAATGAAAACTAAAATGATAAATTAATCTTTTAAGTTTGGTACTAGTAAGCTTAATTCAACAAGCACCAAACACATGTGTCACATCACAGTGTAAGTTGTTTCCAAGACTCATCTGACAGGAAATTAAATTACCTGTTCCACATTTAGCCAATTTAATAATGTGTGCCCTTCAGTATGCACAGTATACAGATTTATATCTAAGTAAAACATGGCGGTTAATCAAATTAAGTAGGTGTTTGGGCACATTGTACATTCAAATCAAAGTCATTCATAACATCACTACAGAGCTGATACTAGATGTCTTTTAAGCTACTGTTTCTTCTGTGTTCACTGTTACTGGATCCGATTAAGAATAGCCACAGGAATGTCACTGCCCAGCACAGAAACACGTGTGTAAGACATGTGTAGACCTGCTGTACTTGCCTGCCATTTCTTTATATTGTCCCAGAGGTGTTTGAATTCATGAAAGCCGAGTTTTCCAGTACTGTCACTCTAAAACAACATTAAGGAGAACAAGTGCTCTTCGTCAGCTCCAGCTTGAACAAACAGTTGTATTATTTGTGTATTTACCCAAGGTGTTTTTTTTTTTTTTTTTTTTTTTTTTTACATGCCTTCCTCATTCATGTAGTAAAAAAAACTCACAGTAGGGAATGAATATCAACTTTTTGTCTGACTTGAACACCGCAGTTGGGGTTTACACCACAAATGACATGGATCACATAACTGCAATTTAGCTACCTTTACACTGTTTTCTAGTTAACTGTGCAATTAATATTCATCTCTAATAAACACAATAAATCTTACAATGCCCTGTTCACACAAGCCAGGCATAATCTTTTATCTTTCCGCAGCCTTAATGAGCTGTGGGTGTGAGAGCGTCTGGTGAAGCAACACGTCCCTTTATAGCCAAATGTTGATTTATTTGTTCTGTTCTGTGTATTTTTACAGTGCTGTCACTGTCAGCTTCATAATTGAGAACACATTAAGCCTATTACTGATAGAAAGGATACATCCATGACTGCCACCATGCTCCTGCAAGACTCAATGCTGAAGCCATCCGTCTTCAGGTCTCCACCTGAAATACAAGAAAAACAATCAATTCACCATTTCTTTTAAAAACACTAAAATGTGTAAATACTGTAAAAAGACTGAATCACAACAGAAGAGTTAGAGATATACTCTAATCATGACACACACAAACATGTCTTACGCTTTGCAATGATTCTGTTTAGGATGTTCATCAGCTCAGGTGGGCTCACTTCCATGTCCTTTATGAGACATGTTTAACAGTGTAAGGAGCAGCAGAAACGTGTACAGACACCCAACTGTATGGTGTAACATCACAGACAATGGAGAAACATTCTTTGAACAGTTAAAAACACCCTTAAGTACTAGTGGAATAGAATATATATATTATATAGTGTGGTTACTGCAGAAAAACAACAGAGAAGTACATAGACATAGCACTCACATCTCCAGCGAGTTGCTGGAAGACTCTGCGGAACTGTTTCTCCTCTTCGCTCTCATGCTGCTCTGCAAACTGAACTGGCCTGCGTGGTGGAGGCTGCAGGACAGAGTGTCAGCATTAGAATCCAGAGATGGGGGAACAGTGATGGTCAGATAGAGTGGTAATGTAATGACTGTTACTCACTGGGGCAGATGGCGTAAACTGGGCTGGATCGATGTTGCTACAAAGACAGGATCAGAAATTAAGAGACACGTTAAGCCGCAAACCACCTTTTTTGGCTTAGCTAGGAACTTTGTGCTGATTCTCACCTGACAACATCAATGATGCCACTGATAAATTGTTTGGCAAAAAACATCTTCACGTCAACTGTGAATGCAAAATGCAACATAAGTTAGGCAAAAGACAGACACCTAAAACCAGTCCAGATTCTTGGAAATGCTCCTTCAGTAACTATGGGATCCACCGTCTGACAATGTGTTTCAGTTGCCTGGTTCTGTGAAAAGGTATGTCTCAGAAAAAAATTGATTAAGAGTGAATCTGTTAAGAGTCGAGTGAGCAGGACACCCACTAATAATCCATTGCCGCACCCAGATTGCGCAAAACAGAGCTGATTTAAAAGGTTGTCTTAGTGCATCACACTTTTATAGTAATATCTTTGAACTTTAAAAAGCAAACTAGTGTGTGAAATGTGGGCATTTCAAAGTTGAAAGGGTAAGTTAAGTTAATGTACTCTAAACTCGCAGGAGAAGATCGAGCTAACGCGTTCGAAGATTAGCATTATGTCAGGTTAGCTTGTGGCATTAACCCTATCAACTGCGACTGTCTAATGCCGCTGAAACACTGTAACGTTAAATCATGCAACCTCTTCATAGTACAGAGTTAAGCCTGGTCGTTAACAGTTACTGAAGATGGCATAATTCTGAAGTATCTTGCATAACTAACTTTAGCATTAAGTTAGCTAAGCAGTTAACGTTAACTTCCGTGGATGTTTAACGTTACGTCAAATCCTGCCAATCTCGGAATTACCGTTATTACTACCAATCTAATCCTTCATCGGTTTGATGATAAACACTGTTCATCTTTTACCTTACCGTAAGAACACAGCACTTTTAAAGTAGAAGGCAGAATATCTGACTGAGTTCGTGAGTTCCACTAACCTCAGCTGGCAGGAAGATTTGTCAACACGCCCCAAATAACGCTGCACAGAGGAACTGCGACGCAAGAGGAGCTCTCGCGGTTTCTGCAGTTATTTCCGGTTTTGATTCGGGGTTCAGTAAAGGAGCACTTCGGTAAAGATTATTGGTTCGATATGATGCGATACACTTAACTAATTCTGTTTATTACCTGGTGTCTGGTTAAGAAAGGCTTTCAACTCATAAATGTCAACCGTGTTCAGATTTAGACTTGCGTAGTGTGATGTTGTTCAGGGGATGTTTTACGAAAAATGTTTAAACGATGCAACTGTATTTTGTTGTTATTGAAAACAAACATTATTTGCCGTTCAGGACGTCTCATCAAATTATGCTGAACATTTTTGACCGACATTTCACGTAGCAGTGCAGAAACGTACACGACAGTATTTCCCGGAAAGGCGATTTCCTCTTTACAGTTATATTATCTTTGTTGTATTTCGCTTTTCCTCTTTTAATTCTGTTTTTAAAATGTAGTTATTATTGCACGTTGTGCGAATTCAGTTAAAGCATGTTCTTGCCCCCAGCTGACGTGAAATGTGAACCTGGGAAGCTGTTTTATAAAATGTAGCCTACTGTACTTACCTTTATTGTTTAGATAGATAGATGTGTTCTAAGATTGAATGTTTCTAATGTGTAAATAGACTACGTCTTCCTGTGAAAATGCTTTGAGTTTTTTGCCCCCCAGAGTATACACTTCCAAAACATGTTTGATGACAAAGTTTTAAACACACGAAAGTGGAAGATTTACTACAGGCCTTCAAACGACTACAATTAAACACTTTTAAGACTTACTCAAAGTGGGTTTTCCCTTTTAGCCTACAGAAGCTGTAGGTCTCCGTGAGCATAGCTAAACAGGATGCAGTATATGAACATCTAGAAAAGTGGTTGTTTTATTCCATGATAACAGTTGTCTGATAGTGTTATGGTTGCTGGACAGAGAGGACCCAAAAGCAACGCCCAGGTGAAAGACGATTTATTGAGAGAAAAAGGGGTGGAGGTGAGGGAGAGGTGGATTCCGGGGGAACACGGGCACGGGGGACCGAGGAGCAAATAGGGGGACTGACCGGGGGGTTGGTGGAGGAGTGTGGTGGCAAGCTGACTGTGAGGCACGAGGGGGAGTTCGGGAGGGTGCCGTGGAAGATGCCGAGGGGAAAGGGCAGGCAGGCAAGCCCAGCTGACTAGACGAAAGATGGAGGTGAGTGGACCTGGGGAAAGACAGACAGGATTAGTGACAGGAAAAACAGGTAACAGAGATGTGGCAAAAGGCTTGAGGCAAGCAGTGGCACCAGGTCAGGAGCAACAACAATGAAGCAGCGATTGTATGGAGAACCGGGGTTGATATGCAGGCAGGGATGGAGTTGATTGTGGCAGGTGTGGCAGGCAGAGGAGGTGGCTGACGAGGTGCAGGTGTGGGTCTTCAGCTGGGCTCAGGAGCGGAGAGAGAGAGGGAGAACACAAGCAAGGGGAGCAGAGGAGACAGACAGACAGGCCAAAACACAAGGGAAAAACAGAATCACAAGAAAAAAGGAGAAATAAACAGGACACTCACCGTCAGCCGGGCTGCCACCACAACAAGTTAGAGCACAAGGCTAGTTGGCTACAGTGAACAGATGAATCAGTTGTAAGCTCAAGCTTAGAATTATCAGAGCTGTAAATACTAAAAACACACCATTAAAGAGATCAACAAATTAGAATATAAGCACTTTGTCACTCCACTAACCATTACTGAATGCTACACTAGGAAAATGACACTGATCTTCATTTAGCCCTGGAGCTCCTTCATTGACCCATGTTGGTCCCTGGACCCTACCACTGACAGCTAATGCTCCAAGGCCGCATGGAGCTTGAGCAGGATGTTTATTCATACATCATTCCATTTTACTTTGTTATCTTTAAGTGAGAGATTTCTTTGGAGAAGAATATTTGTTTGGCACTTCATAGAGGAACTGGAGCACTGTTAAAAAGCAATCCCTCTGAAGATTTGCCAATGGACTTGGGGCATGTTTAAAATGATAGCACACCACATTGAATAATTAAACACAGCTTAATGGGAACGGAGAGAAATTGTGTTTTCATTTATTTTGACAAAATCCTATTCTGTGATAACTGGATCATATAAGCAGTGATTACCCCATACTTGTAATGGATTGTGTCAAACTGCCACTGTGTAGACTGATATCAAGGAAAACTGTTTTTTTTTTTTTTTTGTGGAGATTGAGAATTATTCACAGATGTAATTATCAAATGCCCATTCAAGTGCACTCCTATGACCTTTGTGGTATGTCGTTCCCCATCTCTCTGTCCTGTCATTGCCTCTCAAACCAACGTTAGCAAGATGTGTTCTGTCTCAGCTTTACAGAACATTTACTGAAATGAATGGCCAAGTGATGTGAAAATGGTTCAATATGAATAATTTGAATATTGGCAAGATCACACACTTAACTAGAATGGGTATTTCCTTAAGAAAATGCGTGTGAGAGCTGCCAGCTATTTATTGCGATTGCTACCGCTGTTGGTGCAATGTGCGGCTCCATCAGCTAAGAGACTCAATGATGTGCTGCACACTTGTTCAGTGAACATATGTGTTAAGTTTGGCCCCCTTTTCATTAATATGCTGTGAGCAGGGTTTTGTCCATCAATCTCTGGATCTGGAGCAAGAGCAAGACCTCCACCACCGGACCACTCAGATACACTGTGAAGGGAAGGCCTTCAAGTTTCTTTGTCAATCATGTCTTATTCTGACAAAAAAAAAGGCTCCTAAGCACCAATAGAAGGCATGTTTTGCTTATAAACATATTTTCTGTCATGGCTACTCCACTGTTGAAGAATAAAATACAGAAAACAACAAAGAATTGTGCTGTGAAAGACTTAATAACATGTTAACAAGGATTGCATTTAGAAAGACTAACATACAATTTTGAAAGTAACCACTTAAATCAAGTTTGAACTTCAAACAACACAGTGAAATTACAAGTTTAAATATTAACACATCATGACTTAAACCAATGTCAGGTACAAGAAGTAGTACTCTGAGAATTCTCTGTTTATTTATCTGTCAATGCAGCTGTTCTTATCAAATGAAACAGGCACTTTACTCCTGGTTTCAATAGTAAACCACCACAAGACTGACAATTACCAACAAAAATCACTATATTCTAAGCAGACACGTTTAACAAAACATAAATCACAAAGTAACTTTTGTGTTTCAAACAAATAAGAGACTTATTAGCAAATTTGAACAAAACTTTCTTCACCGCCATGCATCATGGGAATTCTGAGGGGTGATATACGGCAGCCTAAGTCCATCCGTCAAAATTCCCATGATGCATGGCGGTGAAGAAAGTAGGAACCCATTCATTTTAAAATGCATAAAAATATTAATATAAGCTGCAGTTCTCACACTAATCATCTGCCTTACATGCTACATCTCTACATGGGTGAGGGGGGGTTCAGCCACAGAACAGCACCCCCCTCAGGTTTAACTGGCACAACATGGGGTTGAACACAGGTTCAACAGCTGAAGGACAACTGTTTGTTCACCATGCCGGCTCCATTGTGGCACCATAGGCATTCGAAAATGACAGTTGCAGATTTTTGACTGTGTGTCTGTGTGTGTGTGTGTGTGTGTGTGTGTGTGTGTGCGCGCGCGCGCGCGTGCATGTGCATGTAAGTGCTGAATAAAACCAGCAGGTGGAGTCAGAGAGCATTTGCCAGAGCTGAGTTAAGGCAAACACACTACTGAATATTCTGCATTCAGCATCCAAATACTCTTGGTATAAGTAATTTACATAAATGCTGATCTGTCTACAATTAGCTGAATGTATCTGTTTTCTATTGCTGGTGATGAACCACTCTGTCTGCACTGCTACATTTTAGTCGGGCCTATGAAATTCTGCCTTTCTGTATTTTTTGTGACAGTGATATGGAGGGTTGGCATCCAAAATTGCCATTTTAAGCATGACAGGGTTCCTGATTAATCATAAGAATGTTTCACTAAGTAGTTCACAAGAGGCTCTTCACCCACACCACTCAGCAACAAACTAACCTCTGATATTTGTGCCTATGACCTTTAGAATCTAAATATCTCTCCCTGCTAACACTGTAAAAAAAAAATTTATCCTGGCACCATACATCACTGTCTAATTCATATATTCTTCATAAAATCATGAAAAAAAATTATTTATCCATTCGAGTGTTCTTACTTTGACAATGGAGTCTTTTGAATTCAAGCAACTGGCTGAGTTTGTCTCTGTGCTGCTGTGTTTTTATTATAGCTACATCTCCTCTTAATCCCTCATGGTCAACACCAACATGGTTGCCTTGACAGTGCAGACACTTCACTTGCTCTCTCCTCAACTGATAAGTCTCAGTTGTACTACCTTCCCCTCTCTCTACTGATAGAAAAGGGATTCATAAATACAACGGCAACATGCCCATGTACAAAGTGTTCATGGCTGCTGCCGCCACTTGCAATAATATTCCACTTTCAAACATCTCTCTATTTTCTGCCCTCAAAATCTCATATGGAATCATGAAGAATCTTTATTTCTCAGGAAAGTTACAGCTGTGACAGCACTGCTGGCATATAATCTCTTTGATTTTCACAACTGCTACTAATTTACAAAATTATATATATATACATAAGTTCAGCCACTGCATCACTGTCAGTGGCTGACAAACTCAGGTGCAGTGCATTAAACTCAGGGATACGTGTTATCATGGCACATACTACACAAGTAAAATGTGCCGTTTACTGTGAGACTTTTTGAATGCATGTGTTTCAATATATCTGGAGTGTAACCTGATATTCAAGATGTGATCATATATATGATGCGCAGTGCAGAAACAGTGATATCTATCCTTCAGATCCCACTCCAGCTAAAATTACTCCATCCATGAAATAGAGGTATCCATGGTTACATCAGGAGCCATGTTAAAGGGTGCCTCAGTGTATCTCTATTCTCTGGCAGTCCCCACCTTTTTCCTCATCCATCTTTTG